TTTTCTGATATTAACATTTAGTTTATTTTTTAAGATAATCCTGCTTTTTCAGTTATTGTGTCATATGTGCATATTGTAATTTCAGTATTATCATTTACAATCTGTATTTCCTTCAGCAATATGTTGCACAAAATGTGTTACCGTGACAGGCCTAGCAGCATTTATCATGGTGTCTCCTTTTATTGTTTAGTCTCAGTTCTATTGGTTGATGTATTTTTAAATAGTCTCATTCAATCTAGTCATGGAAGGAAATGATCTGTGGTGGTTATCCTGGACAGAATAAGTGTCAAGAGGAAGACAATGATGTGATTGAAAATGTAGTTGAAATTATACTGTCTATTGTATTTGGATAAAGGTATTACATGTCCTCCACAGCTGTATTCACTGGACAGAGGCAGGAAGCTACACTCTCTTACAGTGTTTTTCTTTAAAAGCCGATGAACCACGTCATGGCCATTTTCTCGCCTTGCACTCCACAGCTGTCCGCACAAGTTGATTAAAACATTTCTTTTAGTAATCCCTGTGTAATGAAGCCCTCTCCTGAGATGAGACCTCAGTGTGTGCATGCGTGTGTGTGTGTGTGTGTGTGTGTGTGTATGTATGTGTGTCTGTGTCTGTGTCTGTCTTTGTGAGCTTTTCTCACTGTGTGCTCTTTAGGTCAGCTCTGTCCAGATGGAAGCATGGGGACAGTTTTGGGTGAGCAGAAAATGTTCTTGGAAAGCTCTGCACTGTTGAAGACACATCAGTCAACAACCAAATCACATTTATAATTGCTACAAGCAGCTGACAACTATGATGAACTACAATATGCTGTTAAAAGTGGGTGCAGTTTTGCCTTTATAATTACTGTCTCACATGATTTGTACATTTTGCAATGAACCAGTAGTTATTTAATAATTTATTTGGGATTTTTATGCTAATTGGTGGGTAAGACATTGTTAGCATGACAGAATTTGAGCAAGGGCCCATATTATTTTATTTTCTGATCTATGTTGTAGTGTTGTTTCAAAACAGAAAACAGTGTTCCACCTTGTGATGTCATGAGATAATGCAGGAATTGCCACTTAAAGATAAAAAGTAACTGCCAACCGGAAAAATGCAGTTTCATGACATCACAATGTGGAACAGAGCATTTTGGACTTTGGAGATGAAGATAGACTTAACAGTAAAGATTTACTCAAGCATGTGTGAATGAAACAAAACACAAGTCCAGGTTTGTTTTTGAGGAGGTAATAACATTCTAACATGTCTTGAAGCTCACAAGAATCAATTTTGTGTAATATAGAAAAAGGCAAGGAAAGTAAATGCTCCTCTTCATTCACATGTTATTCCCCTTGATAATTCATTAACTTTTGAAGTGATGGGGGAATTCTGCTATTGTTCAAGTTTAAACAGCAAGGAGTCAAAAGCTGGATGCTGTTAGTCCTCTCTTCCCTCTCTTTTCAGGCTAGTTCCCTCCAAGGATTCTCTCTAAACAGCAGTACTAACAGATTAGTTTAACAATTACACTGAATGTTTATATTTCCTAATTAAGGCGAGGTGTGACAGTGAAGGATTAGCGGAAAGTCTAGATTGGAGTTATCTCCAGTTCTGTGACGGTGGCCATCTTCTGTGTCTATCTCACAAATATGTCAGACTGTAATGGATTATATTGGCTTTGTTGCAGACTTTGTAAATAGGCCAGTTAAGAGAACGAGAAAGGAGCACACAGTGATTTAGCCTGATCTATTTTTTGAGTTTACAAACATTCTGAGTGCCTTTCTGTTAATTATGTAACTAATCTAATTTATTCTAATTGAATTTATTCTAAACTTTGCATTGTAAGAATAATGTAAGAATAATGAATAAAACAATATACATGCATTACAACAATGCAGTTTCAAACTTTTATTATAGTTTGGCTGATCTGTTTTGGAGGAAGGCTTGAGCACCATGTTAAATTGTCTTATGAGCTAATGCCTATTTTTCATTTTATAAAGCCATCAAGAGGTGTCTTTTAACCATCACAGCTGCATTTGGGAAATAAAACCACATGTAAACAGCACACAGGGCATATGTTGTGATAATAAGAAACTGTGTGTAGCCCCACTTCTGCATGCTGTTTAAACCATTTGACCAGCTGCTTCTGGTAATACTCTTTCAATCACTAACTCTGACTACAAAGGCGTCAGCATTTCAGAAAGAAATTTGTGCCATATTTGTTGGGTCATCACCATACCCTGTCAAAGCCTGTTCAATAATGTCTCTATTTTCAGGATAACTTTTACTTCATAACTAAACTAACACTGAATTTTCACAAGCCAGAATCAAGCATGATCGTGATTTCAGATTTGTTTATTTCAGTGACACAAAACAGTGTGAAACAAAAAGGAGCTCATTGGAGCTCATTGTTAACCGATCATTTATAAAATCACATTTCCCTCACCTCAGATTAACAAAGTTTACCGCTTTGCTCATTGTTTCTGCATAAACCTGCAATATTTTTCAGTCCCCCCTTTTTTACCTTTCTTTTTTACTCATAAGCTGCCATTTTATTTGAATTGATAAGGATAGGCCATGTCCCTGATTGGTTAATGCATCTGTCAATCACACCCATCTAAACTCGGGGAGATAAAAACAGTGACCAGATTCACATCTTTGTAAAGTATTAAAGAAGTGTGTATACTGGTTTCCAGGCAAGTTCATTTCCTGCATAGTAGAGTGTGGTGCAGTGGACCAATAGAAGCCCATGTCTTACCATACAGTGTCTTTAAAGCTTACAGTAACTTTCAGTTTGCCAGAAAGCTGTTTACCATGTTGCATGGAGGAGCAGCCAGCACTCCAGCTACTTAATGAAATCCGATGAGTGTCTGGCTGTTTTTAAACATGCTGCATTCCCATAACACCCTAATGAGACTCTGGTTCTCATTTTGGTCCAAAGTTTGCAAAGAATCGGGTATAATATAATAAAAACAGGTGCATAATTAAAGTTTTAGAGGACCACATGCACATGACAGCTCCCCTAAAACGCTATAAACACTGGAATAAGCCAACAAACTTTCATCCTTTGCCAGTCTTCCCATTGAAGTGGCTTTGCAGGCACATTTGCTCAGCATGTGGGGACATTGTTGCTTAGTCCCATTCACATTGTTTTGAGCACAAGCTCTATACATTGTATCCAAGCATGCTTCTTATGCCAAGCTGCACATATGAGGACAAGACAAAAAGGCTGCAAAAAGCTAGTTTGAATGATGACTTGTTGTATTGCCTGAAGTGTGAGTAGTGATAAATATAACAGTGATAAAACTGACCTTGCATGGTCATATTAGTGCCAAATGTATTGTATGTAAGGATTTAGTCTACTTATATCTGTAATGTCAAGGTAAACCCATTGACCCTGTCAGACTGAAAATGCCTTTCTCTGTAGGTCCTTTGTTGTTAGTTCTCCTTACATCTTTCTCTATCAAACTCTCCCTCACTTACAGCCTTAAAGTAGTTTCCCCTGGGACAGAGAAGCAGTTAAACATGCTAAAGCTTGGCCTGTGTGCAGCTAACAGCCCATGTCACACCACTGCACCACCCAGGAGCAGAAGAAAGCAAAAAGATAAAGAGACGCGGACGGACATGGGGGAAGCTGGGACTTAAACGATCGCAGAGCCGTATGCAGAAGGCACAGACCTGGTGACATATCCCACACTCTCAGACTCTGAGACCAGACCAAAATCCATGTGTGATTAAATGAACTGTGATGCTTGATTCTGACACACCACACAGGCATCTCTGGAGTTAGTCACGCTTCTGTTGTCACTAAAGTTCAATTATTAAGCCTGAATGTATAAAAAAAAAAATTATTTATGTATAAACCAAACTGAGAACTGTGGCTGTGTAGAAACCAGTGCCAATCTCCAAAACAAGCAGAAAACTCATAACCATAACTCTTTACAGATGTAAATTAGGGCCTGACTGATTTTTTGAGGGCAAATACCAGTACTGGTATAAGTGGCTATGGAGGTGGGCAACAACCGATATATTCAGTGTTGTAATCATATATTGTAAATCTTCAACTAATTATAAAACTTGGTAAAATCATTTTACTAACACTCCTGTTTTGATATTTTTTAAAATATCTATGGTGAATTGTGCATATATTTTCTCACATCTTCTGCTTTTTGTTATAGTGTGCTAGTTTTTTCACATTGTTCTTTTTCTACTCTAAATTCAAAGAAACCAATGATGTCTATCTGCTGGGGATTCCCTTTTTTTTTTTTTTTCTTGTTGATGATGTCAGGGATGAAGCAGCAGAGCCATGAATTCACTGGACACTTTTTGAAATGATGGAGACAGTTTGGACAATGAGACGGTGGCATGTAATGTGAGGAAGGAGCACCCAAAGAGAAAAAAAAAACAAACATAAAAACACTTGCTTAGACTGTATTTGTATCAAAGACAAATGGGATGCTGGTCCGCTGGGGTTGTGATGGACAGCGGCCTGCAGATGTGGGCCTGAATGTTCTATTACCTCATTGCTCTGAAGGCTCAGTTCATCAGCCCATCACACACACACTGTCTTTGTGCACGCTCTTGGAGACAGATGAAATGTTAAACGCGTACATACTCTTTTCAGGGTCAGGTTTCTGGGCTGTACATCTCTTCACATAAATCATCATCACAGTTTTGACAGAGAAGAAAAGTGTTCAGCAGAAAATAGGCAAACTTCCCCCAACTGCCAAGATGCTAGGAAAGCCTAGTGCCTTTGGTACTTGTTCAACTTGCTGCTGGAATGCTATTCTACCTATTTGGCCCCCACTGCTATCAATGAGCTGTTTTATATTGCAATGTGATATTGATGGATTTGTGGAAGTTGTGATTCATTAGTTTCCATTGGTGTCTGTTTGATGCAGTGTGTGTTGGCACCTGTGCGCAATGCTCCATTCCTTCATTTATAACGCTCAATATATCTTAACGGTTTCTCATATACTGTCCTTGATGTAACCCTGGCTTTCTCTGTGGCTCTTTTTCAGGACCAAGCGCTCTTCAGTCCCGACAGCAGAGTGTATTTTTGAGCTTCCACACTTCACTGTGCAGGCCACCAGAGCCCAGACGCTACTGCTGCAGGCTATTTACCAAAGCTGGACACATAGTGTGGTGACAGGAGTCCCACAGGCGCTCAACGAAAGTCTGCTCAATGAAGTGTTCAAATCCCCAGGTAAACTAAGTTTATTACTGCCAGATACTGTGTCCTGGAGCAAATGTATTGATGTAGTACAAATCTTTATTTTAAACTAAACCTTCACAGTATGCAGTCAGTATTTATTATTTAGTTGGGCCCCACCATCTGCCTAAAGAACATGTTTAAAGCCTTATTTGAACATGTTACTATGAAGAGGACATTGCACAAAATGTGCCTACACAACTCTCTTATCCATTTTGTAGTGAAACCGTTTAATTAAAATTTCAGGTGTTATTTTTGCATATAGGGGTCAGCTGTTCCTTGGTATTTATGGAGGCACTAGATCTCCAACTAGGGAAAAACCTACTCAAAACTGCTTCACGCTTCATGTCATCTTATAAATAAATTGTGCCCTTGTTAAAAAGGGAGGGGATGTTTAATTCAGTAAAACAGTAGCGTTTCTCATGATGGTAGCATCTGGACAGTCCTCTGGAGACCTTGGGATTTTCCAACTCATTAGGATCATCTTGTTTGGTATGCCGTCAACGTTCCCCATACAGCCGGCTATCCACGCCTCTCTTTTTTTACTGTTGTGTCACTGCCAAAATGTATGAAACTGGTCTCCCGTGGAGTGAAGTCAAATATTCCTCTCTGTCTGCCTTGAACTTGGAACAGAACTTGAATAGGAGCGTATGCACATCTGGAGTGAGCGCTGGCAGGTTACAAAAGGAGGGTATGATTGGAGAAGGTGAAAAGTGAAGGAGAAAGTGTGATGTGTTGTATAAGTACATTTTAGCTGGAGTAAACTCTGCAATAAGCTCAGTGACATAACTGAAGAATGCATTTGCCTGTGAAATTGTGCTGACACAGGCTTTAAGGTGTGCTCTACACTACCCATACTCTATTTTCACTGTGACAATATGATCAATGGAAAAATAGAAGAGGAGAAAGTTTGTGAAACGATTAGCTTTACGTAGTTGTGAGGAGCTTTGAAGGGTGTGCGCCGATGTCCGTCTGCTTGCACATGTGATGCAACCATGCCAAATAGTTGTGGTTCCTGTGGGCATTGCGGTTCTGTCCACACTGTAGGATGATGAAAACCTGACAGCTGCTTTTCTGGCCCTGTGCCTCTCTCCATTGCTCCAGGTTGTTTTATAATGACATCTTTATATGTTTTGGATGTTGTCTTTGCCATATTTGGAGGGAACCTGACTGTTATTCCTCTTCTTTAATGATGCATTTTCAACACGATCATCGGTCACGAGTTGTAGCCTGGCCAGCCATCCCACCAATTCTATGTGGACTGGAGTTAGATTTCAAAAACTCTGTAACAATAAACGTGGCCTGGACGGCTGCTGTGCTTACGACTACCTATGCTTAGATCAACTTTTTACTACAGAAACAACACATCACAAAAACCACTGCATTTTATGTTGATGATTTTCACTTGAATAGACTGAAAGTTGTATAAGTGAGGGAGTAAGAAGGGATGTAAAAATCAGTACAACACAGAGGTGTATTTGTATATATTTATTTGAGCCTTAAGATTCTATTAGATGAAGAAAATGCTTTCCATTGTAAAAAAAATACATAAATTACCAATACTTATCTTGAAAGAAATTGTAAAAGGAGAAAGCAACACCAAATTTCAAAATGAAAATTAATTTCCTTTCTTTAATGGTTTTGTAAGATGTAATATTGGTTTTCATATTTAACTTGCATAAAAAAAACTTCACAGGGTTAAACAGTTTTTGTCTGTTCTCTGCTCTTGATCTTCAAGGGTTTTTTTTGAGTAGTTGAAGGTGTTTCATATGGAGCTGTAGTTGATAACACAGATGGACAGGGGACATAATGGGGGGAGTTTTTTGAGAGATTTGTTTCATGTTTAAAGACTATCCCACAATCTAGAGAAAAGAAAAACTCACCAGTTCATCAGCTGTAATCTCAACACATGGACAGAGATGATGTACAGCGAAAAAATGGTAGAAAATATCTGTAAAGAAAGATGTAAAGCATAGTGTATGCAGTAATGTTGGTACTACACTTATTTTTTCTAGTATATTTGTGTTATATTTCATACAAGGCACAACATTTATTAGTATTAGATGTCACAATAATGTTGGAGAGCCTGTTTGTAAAAGTAATACACTATTACACACTACATTCTTCTCATGTCCTATTATCAAGAACAGTTAGCAGCACATTTGAATGTACCCAGCCTATGTCTATCTAACCTTTTGATAGTTTCTACTTTTCTTTATATTCATTCATCCCTCTTTTGTGGATTGTTACACTGCTGTGTGTATGTAGCGTCTTTTGGACTTGCTGAAGAAAATGTGACTCTTCTAATGCAAAATAAATGTGATAGCCAAATATAGCGAGATGTCTGATTAAGCTTCTTCATCTTGTGTGTGTGTGTGTGTGTATATATGTATGTATGTGTATATTTATATGTATATATATATATATGTATATATGTATGTGTATGTGTATATGTGTATATAATATATGTGTATATATATATATATATATATATATATATATATATATATATATACACACACACATACACATACACATATACATATACATATATACATACATACATATATACACATATATATGTGTGTGTTTGTATATGGCATGTTAATATAAGGTTCTTTGCTTTGCTGTGCATATACAGTGTTTATGTTACTCTAATGTGAGTATAGTCTCTACTGTGACACATTATTTCAGCAGTGCCTTTTGGTATATTGCAGTGAGGCTCACACCAGTGTTGAGTTTTATTGGTTTGGTCTGAAAAAGCTAGTATGTCATGGTTTATGGTTTTGGTTGTAGAGTGAAAAAAGAGAAGACATCTATAGGGAGGCTTTTCTGTTCACTGAACTTTTACATACTTACATTACATGTCCTCTTAAGCAACTGCCTGATTTAAATGTGGTGTTTTACAAAAAGCTGTTGATTGAGGGATTTCCAGAGACATTTGTTTATCAGCTTATTTCATTGCTATTAAAGGTCCTGCTATGCAAAATTGACTCTTGCCCCTGGTTTATTACATCTCTGGTTTGCCTACATCTCCAAAGTTCAAAATTCCCCATTCCTTTGTGCTTTTGTTTTATACTGCCTCTTGGCTAGGTCATCATTGTAAATCAGAAAGTGTTCTCAACTGACTTATCTGGTAAAATATTTAATAAATACATTTTTAAAAAGTGGTAGTTTTGAAGTTAACAGCTTCCTTTTTCCTTTTTTAGAGATTTGATTGAAATGATTGTAATGAAGATGTTTGGAATTCAAAAACAGAATGGAGCACTTCCTGTATTACCACATGACATCACGAGGTGGAACAGAGTGTTTTCTGTTTGACATGTAAAATGGGAATGAAACAAAACACAACTTCAAGTATATTTTTGATATGGAAACAACATTATGACCTAGATCATATTATGGGCCCTGTCAACAAAAAGATAACTTTAAAAAAAATTTGTTACACTTGTGTAGCAGTCATATAGCAGTAGCCATAATAGCAGCAGAATGGTGCCAGTAATCCAGGCCTATACCACAGGCTCTAAACCACGAACCACAGTTTTAGAGAGACACTGACCACTCTGACCTCCCACACACTCCTCATGTCTACATGCACTTGTGTTGAACCGTGTTCTTCTCATTTTATGTAACAACATAATCTTTAACAGCCTTGTGACTCTTAGTGGTTTTAGTGGTGGTCACTTTGAAAGTCTAGATTATATATATAACTGATAACACCAGTTTTTTCTATTCTGATTGTTTTGAACCACTAATACATTTTATCTCATCCAAATCTATGTTTTAAAAATAGGTATGGTTAAAATATTTTTAATTATTGTGCTTTTTAGGGGGTGGACTGTCTTTTACAGTTTTTTACTCTCTTTGCTTTCATCAGTGAGTAACAGAGATACGACTCATATTTAGGAGAAATTACTTCATGAATATTTGAGACATGGTGTCACTGCACAGCTACTCTTAAAAATATCATTAGTAAAACAATGTTTTATTTTTACAAGTTACCCCTTCACATAAAATAGAGGTATGCTTCACTCAGGGTTATGTCAGAAACAAATATCTCATCTCAACATTTCAACAGCAGCATAATTGGATCTTGTGCACAGAACTGGTGGTGGTACGGTTTGATTATATACGAGTGATCACAACACTTGTGAAGATTATTATTGCTTCCCCGGACCTACATTTGAATCATGCCAATTTGTGGTCATATGTGTCAACCCATAATTCTTATAATTTTTCTTGATAAAATGAAAAAGAGTAGATTCTCTTAGGCAGTAGTAGTCATGAATGTTAGTAAAATAGTAAACTTAATATACCTTGAGATGCTTTGTCCCTCACCCAAGTATTCATATGTCTTTGTAGAAGTGATCTTTGGGTTAGGGAGGAAAATCTGCTCATCAGCTTCACACATTGACCTCAAGGCGTTAAGAAAACAGAGCAGAAGACACAGGAAAGAACAATAGACGTTTCATCCATAGTCTTATTTGTGACTTTAAAAACACATTGTGTCAACATATGATGAATACATGATGGATAAAACTTGAGAGGGTTCTTGTCATTGCAACTTCAATAAGTCACAGACATCTTCCACATCACTGCACTGTATTGTAATGAATCTTTAAGTCAATCCAGACACCGCAATACTTTCTTTGATTTGAGTTCTTATTTCGCTGTTGAGACTTAACAATGAGCGGCCATCACACTGTGTCCATAGCACATGCAAGCAAGCCAGCCTTTTTGTAAATGGATCCTCCTTACTCTTGTGACTTTTGGATGTCCAGGATACTCTTCTTATTTTTATACCACAATTCACCATTCACCTCACCTTAGTCTGTGCTGAGCGACCAAAATTTTTTTCCGTGCATTTATAAAGAATATCCAATCAGATCTATTTACTTTGATGTCACTGCCGCTGTTGAAACTGTATTAATTAAAATACTGTTCCACTTTAATTGTATGCTTTTAACTGTATGTTTTAATAGTATTTAACTTGTTTATGTTGTTGTAAGGCGACCTTGAGAGTCAAGAAAAGTGCCTAATAAATAAAATGTATTATTATTACACACGTACTGACAAAGCTTTAGATTTTATGTTTTGTATTAGTCAAAGGATAACCTGTGTTAGACAATGTCAAACAGTGTTCTGGAAATATTAGTCATGTCATTTTAGGTCAAATCATTTAGGGTGGTTGCTGCTAACCTGAGTACACACTTTTCATATTTGCATCTACAAAGCCTCAGAAACTTCAGTTGCCTCATTGGCAGCCTTCTCACAAAGATCATCTGTCTTTACAAAACTTAGATGTAAATATTAATCTAATTTGATATCTTATAAACAAGAACGACATGCTTGTTTATTTCTCCATTTCTCTGAAGTACAGAGATGCAGATTATTAGCCAAGTTTCCATAAACAATTGTTGAATTAGAAATGAAGTGTGGCAGTGGATGTCAGTTTGGTCTGACTGTAAAATTTTCTATTGTATTGAATTGTATTTCTGTCCTTGCTCATCTTGTCCGGCTGGTCCTGCTTTTGTCCTGAGGCTGAATAGAAGTAATGTGAGATTGAAATAATACTATTCCTACTGCTGCTGCTGCTGTTACTGCTACTACCACTATTACTATTACTACTATTATTACGATTATTATTATGGCCCTATCCATCTATTCACTCAACCAACCCACCCAACCAGGCCTCACCTTGTCCTTGAACGTTAACCACTATGCTGTTTACTCTGGCAAAAGGAACAAGGAAAATATAATATACAATCAAATTATGTTTAACTATGTGTAACTTTCATTTGACATACTTTTACCAAAATATTGGCATAAAACCTCTACTGTATTTCCAAGTAATACTGTTTTGCAATTCCAGCCACTTGTATATTGATTGAAAACATTTTTTGTTTTTATGTTAACATTCTTTTGAAGAATAAAGAGGAATCCCTAATCTGTGGCCACATTGGAGTGACTGAGGCTTTGGTTTGGCGTCATTAGCTGTGGTCTGTAGTTTGGAGCATCCCTCTCATGGGCCGACCACACGGGCATTCCTCACAGTCTGCCACTTCAAAGCTGTTCTGCCCCTGTTTGTGCGCTAACCAAACTTGTCAGGGCAGCATTAGTGACGAGGGATAAAGAGAGATTGAGAGGCAGTGCTTCTCATCCCTCTCTATGTTTTATTGGCCCTATCTCACCACGGGCTAATTGTCTCTTTACAAGTGGCAATATGGAAATTCTCTGAGTGACTATACATGTTTATCTGTAACTAATAGCAAATCTGTCTTAGCCTTTTTCTTCATGTTTCTGCTCCATCTGAAGATTTTGACCATTTTCATCCTTTCAACTAAAAAACCCTTCTGCTCTAGACCCATTAGCATTTCCAAAATTGCTTCCGTATGAAGTGCCCTTAATTGTGGTAATTTGGTGGCAAGATGAGAAAAGTTTGAATGAGTGGAGAACATGTGTCACAGCTTTAGCGGTGAGACAGAAAGGGAAGGCAGCACCTGGAAGAGATGGTAATCAGCAAAATGAGACCGCCTTCATTCTGGTGCTACCACTCACACCACTGTTACAGGTTGACTTACATTCTTTACAAGTACACTTACAAGAGGTAGATTATATTAATAAAATATTTCTCTCAATGAGAATTGCTTTTCCTTATAGCATGTGAATATATCCCGTTTTAGAGGGTTTTTTTTGTAAAAATATTATAACTTTAATGTTTTGTCTTTTCATTAATTTCACATTAATTAGTTACATATTGAGATCCTGAAAAATCTCTTCTAAACGTGTTGTAGTTGTATATTGTGCTTGGTGTGTTCAGTGATTAATGTCTGGATATGCCCAATATCATGCTGTATTTTAGGGAATATATTTTCTATTTGCTGTAACTAGAGTACAGTCTTTACCTGTTGTATGTGTTAGGACTGGGGGTGTGTAAGGCCTGGGCATGGTGCCAGTGCACCTCCTGTTCCTACTTACTGCTTTTACTTGAGCCCCTCCTAACTTTGGAGAGACAGTTATTGTTTCTGCATCAGCACTTAATGGCTCAGCTGGCTGCTTTCAGTCTACCTAACCTGTCTGTGACTACCTTGTTTCTGTCGGGCCCCTAGCTGCCGTGGGCCAAGTGCCAAGTTCCCAGTTGTTAGAACTGTCTACTGTCTCGACTGCATGTACCTGGACTTTAATATAAATAGTAGGAAAAAACAGTGTTTGTATGGTGTAAGATCAATTTGAATCCTGTGTCATAAAGGATACATTCTTTGTAGCTGCTCTCATCTTTTTTGTCATTCTTTAGACAGTAGAATACACATCCTGGTTTCCCCCCTAAAATCTCTCATAACTTGCAGACTTCTGTATTTCTAATTAGTTTCTTACTGACAGATAGTAGCATTTCAGACTGACCTAAGGTTCTGCATTAGTACTTAACACTTCTTTCTGGCTTCCCGTTTCATCTAGTAACAATTCAACACTCTTAGGCATTTCCCTTTGGTGTATTTAAAATACAGTTTTTCTTCATTCAAATATATGTATCATATATGCTTCTATTTGTTCCCCTTGCGCAGGCGTGTAGACCTCTCTGGCACTGCTTTATAAGCTGGTGACTTTCCCATACCACTTTCCAAAGCTGTGAGCACAGGACATGTTGGAATGTGTAAAACATAGCTTTTATGTCTGCAGATGTCCAGAGAGACGGACATACACACTGAAATATGTCCTCCACTGTGTTCAGTTTTGTGATTGATAATGTGAAATGTACAAAAACGGGCAAGACTGCACAACAATAAAAAAACACCATATCATGTTTTTTCATCTTTAAATCTTAAAATTTTTCATCCTCACCTCTGCAGAACCTAGGGATGGCAAATCCAGCTGCCCATGTGTGCCCTCACACCAGTTGATTGAGTGCCGTAGCCTCTGGCCCCTAGCTGTGTGTTTATGTTCTGGTTGCACCTGCCTTCAGTGGAGAAACAGCCACCCCACCACACACATTTCACTCAGTTACTCACAGTCACTCAGAGACCTCCGAGTGCACACGTTACTAATGCTTCTCACACACACAAAACGGAATAAAAGCTGAGAAACTTGCACTGCTTTTCTCTCTTCCTGTGTACCATACTTTTTATAGTCAGGACAGCTGGTCAAAACATTGTCCTGGGCCCCAACTGCCAAACTGCTACCACCCCCAGCAGGTGCACCGTGCCCTTTAGGACATCTACGTGGCCTGGGCTCTGTTATCGTGATACCCCACCAACTCTAAAGAACAGGCCAGCCTCTGATGTCCAAGATATGAATCTCCAAAGTATTTTAACAGGGAGTTTTAGTTTTTAGTAGAGGAAATATATGTATCAGCATGTTATCTTAAAAATTTTTACCTTGTTTTTTTGTTTTTGTTTTTTGTGTTTACCTTTTTTTTTTTTTTTTTTTTTACATTTTACCATAGAAAATAAATTGTGCATTTTGGGTGCAATGCAATAATGTAACAGCAAGTCCACATCTCAGGTGGATTAAGCAGTAGGCAGCGAGACATAAACAGTGTTATTAGTGTCCCCTTGGAGGCCCCTTAGACAGGCAGGTGAGGAGGATACTGGTTAATTTGTCTGGGATAGAGAAGGGAAGTCAGCGTTTAGAAAATTCTGCAATTGGCAGTAATTCTTTGGGTTAAATGATCTTTGGTCTGTGTGTCTGCAGACTTCCTCTTTTCATTCCTCATTTCTTTTGTCCTTATCATTAAATGACAAGACAATACACAATACATACATTTTTTTTTTTTACCTTTTTTGTTTGACTAAAGGTCCTCTATTACACGGAAATTACTCTTGTGAGCTTCCTCAAACATATATCCAGAGTTGTGATTTGCTTCATTCACACATGTCTGAGTAATGCTTTATTATTAGGCTGTTTACATCTCCAAAGCTCAAAATGCTCTGTTCCACCCTGTGATGTCATGTAGTGGTGGTTTTCAAGTTAACACCTATTATTTACTTTTAGCTCAATAGAGCTTGACAGTTGTAGGGCTGAAGTATCCAAATGATTCCAGTGAAGTTGTTACGGGGTTTAAAAACCCAGGGAAGCACTGTATTACCAAATGACATCATAAGGTGGAACAGAGTGTTTTCCATTTAAGAAAAGAACTCAGCCTATATATGCACAATTTGTGTGTTAAACATGTGTGAATACAACAAAACACAACTCCTGGTATGTTTTTGAGGAAGTAACACTAAAAAGCTCACAAGAGTCAATTCTGTGTAATATAGGAAATTTAATATAAATTAGAAAATAGCATAATATGGACTCTCTAACTGTAATTTTTATAGTTTAACAGTTTAATTTCTTTTTATAATTGGAGACTAAGAAATAAGGTTTTTCATGAAGTGCTGCATGTTCATGATTAATTTGTTCATACATTGATTATAACTGTAAAATATGTGTGTGTAATAACTTCCTGGAAACTTCTGTTGTGGAATGCCCTTGCATTCTAATCATAAAATTCTCATCTATTATCAGTTGTAGTAAAATCTTTGCTCCACCTGTTTCAGCTAAGAAATACTGGGTCAAGACCAATTAGGAGCCAATCAAGAGAAGCACCAGCAGCAGCTATTAAATGTGCTGGACCTCACTTCATTTTCGCTTTGTGTTTTTTTCTTTATTAGGTGTGAAATCTCAAGGCCTGTCACCAACTCTCGAGGGCTCGCTCCAAAACCTGGAGTTGAAGCTGTGCAGTCGTGCGACGGTGAAATGTGCGTCTGGGACCGTGGGAGCCGTAAAAGTGTGCGCCAGGACTCCAGGTGTGTGCAGCTGTGGCCAGTTAAAACTTTACTGCTCCACTGTATAGGACGGACAGACACACAGACGAGGAGTGACCAGATTCCTCCTCTACCTATACTTTAAGTCAATCCTTTATTCACTCCACCATACACTGAATGAATGAAGTATGGCAAGTTGCTAAAGATGTGTGTATCTGTTTGAGTAATATTACAACTGAAATGAACTGAAATGTCAGTAAGTCAATTAGTAAACTATTACTAAAACTTGCATACAAAAAATACATACGTTATATATGTAATAAACATATATTTTTTATGGTACATGATTTTTATGGTGATTGTGAAAATTTTATCAGGATTTTAGAAGCAAAAATAAGTAAAAATAAACAAACAAACAAACAAACAATAAAAACATATAAGTAAGTACCTGTAAATACAGTAAGAAAAAACATAAATCTAAATGTTATGTGCCATGTCAAATTCATTTTAAATTTCATTCAGGAAGTTTTATTTCATAAACCTGGTCATATGTTGCAGTAATGGCAATCGGTTACACTGTGAATTAAGGATTTAATAATATATAATAATAATAATACCGTTAATCATGAATAATTGTAATTCGATTGTAAAAAAGATTTTTCTCACACTAGCATTTGATACTGTAAGATCCCTACTTTGACCATCACTCAGGTAGCTCCTCCAACTTTACAATAACATGTCCAAACCTCATGTCACTCATCACTGTTCTCCAACTCACGAACGCTCCAAATGCATTGTCCAGGCTTGGGAGAGGGGGTGAAGGAGAAACTGGTTCCTCTGATCCAGGGTCCGTCTGACACCAAAGAGCTGCACATGAGCCGCTGGCTTAATGAGATCCGCAAGCCCGAGTCTCTGCTGGCCCCTGACCTGCTGGCGTTCTCTGTGCAGGTCCCTCACCACGCAGATGATTGCAGGAACTCCGGTAAGAAGTGTTAAGAAATGACTTCCTTCACTTTGCTTTCCCTCTGCTTTTATGTGTCCAATGCTCCTTCCACCACATCCATCATCACAATCACTTATTTCACAAAGCTTTTGGAGAGATGAAGGATTAAATGTGTGGCAAATATTGACAAAAGGAAGTATACAGATGTTTTTAGACACTGTAATTGGTTCTTCCCTGCCCTTTTTTCCTAGTCATTCAGTATAGGGATGCACTGATTCAATACTGGTATCAAATATTGGAACAGATCCTGAAATATTTGCTGAACTGGATAATAGCCTAATATCGCTTCAGCCCATATCCTGGTTGGACATAAAAATGGATGCAATAAGACTATTTACTGGTCATAATTGGCCCAGAATGTTTCACAATGTTAGAACTTTTAATTATACAAGGCTGTTCTATGGTTACCTCAGAGATGAATAACAGCTACATAACACATTTGGATCAGTTTTGTCTCAATTTATTATAATTTAAAGGAAATATAATGCTTTGGTTGATTTTGGTTAGTGACATTACTTAAAGCTATAGTATCATAATTGTATCGAAGCTGAAAAAGCTGGATCGGAGCATCCCTAACTCAGTACGCCTAAATTTTGGTTTGGATGTCCATTCATATCTTTTATGCCTTGTGATCATTACACTGTACAGGTAATTTTTGTCCCAGCATGTACATAACTTAAAATGTATTTCAAGACATTGATAGAATGTTATTTTGGAAAACTATGCAAGTAGACTACCAATATGTCATAGTTGAGAAACTTAAGATTTGACTTTCTATTTTGATGACCTAAACATAAATTGAACATGAGGAAAAAAGATGGGAAAGTAAATTATTGTAGGCCGAGTTTATATCTATTCATCTTAGAGTCAGGATCATGTGTCTTGTATTACTTCAGCTCATAAAGACATACATATTTTTGAATATTAAAACCTGATCCGAACACAAACCAGACAGGACTGAAAGGAAAAACAAGGAATGAGTGAGAGAAAGATAAAGGTAAAAATGAAAGGGTATTTGGGGGCCGACTCCAGAAGCAGTGACTGTATCTCCAGCAGATGTGAACCAGGGGAAGCCTGCACTCTTTCACTGCTTTAATACTTTTTTCATTTTTTGTTCTGTCTACATGTTGCTGTCTGTTCAGTCTTACAATAGTCTTTTTAAAATAACTTTCAAAACTATTTAACAAGGTTTTGGATATTTCTTCTAATTATAAAAGAAGTCTTCATATGCCCTTCTCAAAAACATATTTTTGTATTTCCAGTTCATCTGTAGTGGGGCGTGTTTGTGTCTGTGTTTTGTATCCTAACCCAGAGGGCCTCTATGTCTCTGGTCCCTGCACATGTCCTAGCTGTCATGCAAAGGAGCACAGTGTAGTTTTAATGAAATGATGGATGTGTCTTTCTCTTTGGAGATGAAAGGTGAAGCAAAGGGACTGAACTATTAGCTCCCCAAAGACCAACACTGAGGCAATTGTCTGAACACTTGGCATATGCTTCAAAATGTGTGTTTATTTGCACCATGTGTATCTGTTGCCTCCATTTATCACACCCTTATATAAAGAGAAGTTCAATAAGATTAACTGGACACATTAAAACCTAATCAATCTTTCACTGTAGTTTACATGGATTTATCCGCTTCTGTCTTTTGTAAGTTTTGTAAGACTGCTGTACTTCAAAAGCAGCTGGTTTGAGCATCTGATCTTGCAGCAAATGCCACCGTGCATGTCTGTTTGCTCATACCTACTATGTGTACACACTGTGTTTGATGGAGTGGTCTTGGATTTCACATCACAGAAGTTGAATGAATCTTGGTTCTTAAGAGAAGTGAAAGAAGATTTGACCCTTTTAGTTTTGTACTAAATATCTTGAAGGCTTTGCTCCACATAGATTGAATAATATGGGCTGAGGCGGGTTTTTCTAAAATTGTCAATGAATACATTTTCTGTTGTTTGACCTGCAAACCAGATTATTAACATAGAAGTACTGTGTTCTATGTCAATTGTGTGAATTTAAATCTATTATGTTGCCCTTTGATGGAAAAAGATGACATGCCTTTCAAATAGGGCCAATGACATCTGTTTTTTGTCACAGTGTTTACCCGAAAATTAAAAAGAAATTCCAGTTTGCACTTTACACAGAGACCAAGTTAGTCATTATACACCATGGTTCATATTTTGAAGAATTCCTATATACTTAACTGATTTAAAAAATTAAAACAGTCTACAAAACTTGCAATTTAATAACCTGACCATTAAATAGACTTCTGCTTTGAAATGCTATAGTCATTATAATGTAATTGTAGAGCTGGTTGGAAATACAGTATAATGCTCTCTGTCTTTTAGTCTTTCCAGATGAAATCAGCATGACAAATATGGCTACTTAGTATATGCCATTTAAGTGAGTTAATATTTTTCTTTGATAAATCTTACTATGATTATGAGAAAAAGCTTAATGCAAAGCGTTTGGTGCTGAAATAGCCATAAAGACATCTAAAACCTTGGACTGAAAAGTGTCTTGTACATGTGTAAGATGAAGGTAGTTGTCTTTTAATCTTCAGCGGGCAGACATCCAGGCTGGCAGGCTCATTCCAGAGGGCACAGGTTAGTCCTGCATATGAGTGTAGCTGTGAGCCAAGCCCTTGTCATTCCTCTCCAACACTTACGGGACTGCTGTCTGTATCCCACTGACTGGCATGAGATCTATAAGTCACTGGTGACGTTAATCTGAGGAGAGTAGAGCCACATGGATCAGTCAGGCCCAGAACTGTTTTTGGCTCCATTGTCTGTAATGGTTACCAGTGCTCACCCAGAGACCAGTATCAGTCACGAGGAGGCTTGATCATTCTAAGGCCTGGACAGTGGCTGCTATGTGACTCTGACTATAGGGTATGGTCTTGGGTCTGTCACAGCTGATTGATGGGGAACACTAAGGGGAAGTAAAGGGGCCAGTTTTGGAGGTGGGGGGCAGAGGGCGTGTGAGGAGCTGGGCTTTGTGCTGAACTTCAGGCCGAGCAGCAGCCTGCAGGTGTTCCCCCAAAGAACCTTAAAGCAGTGTGACTGCTGCGGGTCGGGTGGGCTTCAGGATCATAGAGAGGCATAGAGTGAAGGATCGCATGTGTTTTCCCCAGGCACGCCAGCAGCTGCGAAACAATGATTTATGCTCCTCTCAGAACTCTAGCATCTCAAAATGTTACATTTAATCAAGCGCACTGAGAGCAGAGCAAATGTTAAAGATGTTCTCCATAAAGGCCTGCACTTTGGATCTCTTCACCATACCACAGGAGCTGTGGGAATATGGGAACAAAGTGATCTTTAATCTTCATTGAAACATATTGGGGGCGACTTATGAAAGCTGAACAGAATGAATCCTGAGAGAATCTCCCGGGCCTGTAACACTTAGCATATTTATTCGCTTAATTCAGACTCCCATTGTTGCTTTTGTCATTAAACAGATGGAAGGAGGAATGTTGTGAGAAGAGAATTTGCCCTCTTTTACAATTCATTGGTAGTTCTGTTTAGTCCTAGCAACAATACTCAAAAACCTAGGCTGCAATGGATTTTTTGTAAGTGATCAATTTGCCATACTAATAAGATTTCATTGTAGTGTTTTTCATTGTACTATGTCTAGATTGCTGAATAATTAGAGAGGTGTTAATTATAGTTCAAGTAATTGGCTTTAGTAGTGTTAGAGTACAACTGTCTCTTCTTTATCACCACTATCATCAAATGCGTTACAAACCTACTCAACTTATGTGCCAGAGCTCCTGAGTTCATGTGACACTTGAATATAGCTGTGTGCTGTGTGGTGTGTAGTTTGAGACAGGTGGATGTTACAGTGGAAGTCTGTAAGAGAAATGAGAGCAGGTGGAAGCGAGGCGTCACCTGACTTTGATCTCACCACTTCACACAAGAGCAGCTCAGTGCAGCAGACACATACATGCACTATAATCTAACACATACTCCTCTAGTCTTTTGTTTCTGTGAGTGGGTTCAAGTGGCTTTGTCAGTGGGGTGTGAATGTGGAGATCCATGCCATTAGGCTCTCCTCTCTTTCACATCGCTTATGTTTCATTTCTCATAAAATCAATTGCCAAATGTGTGTGAAACTCAAGTATAAATATGTGCAGTGGACATGGTAACTTAGTTAAGCATTATAGAAAGAGTGTTGTGCTTTCAACACATTGTGAATAGTGTTATTCTTGTCAAAGCTCATCTCACTGAATTTTTTTGTTTAGTCTTTTCCTCGGGCTTTGCATTTAATCAAATTGTAATTGTTTCAAATGTTTAATGTTAACCTTTTTTGCTATATTATTTAAGGCTGTCACAATAATATAGATATAATAGAACATAAAATAGATAATATCGAACAAATTTATGTTACTGACACATAAACCCAAGAGCAGATTTAAACCACAAAAACTATTAAAAATCATGAGCTGAAGTAAAAAAAAAAAGCAGATTGAAACACTTTAGTTCTTAGTTTACATAGAAGTTATTAATTTAACGTTTTTACGACTTAAATCTTATTGTATAGTCAAAAAATAACCACACATTTCCCAGTGTAGTGATAAATATTGACCCCCAAAATATTGTTCCAGGTTTCATATATTGAACAATAAGTCGATGGGGTAATTATTGTGACAGGCCTTCTATTACATCCTTAGCTCAAGTTTTTTTGTGTTTTAAAATTCATTCTGTGTGTGTGGAGATTAGATCCTCTGAGGGGAACAGGCTTTTGAGGTCACTCGGCGCCCATTACTGGAGCTGTTCATCTGTGAAGTGCCTGGCTACTTAGGCCACTCTCACAGTGCTTAAAGCCAGGCCAGAGTGTGAGGCAGGTGGTCAAGGGGCAGGACTGAACGTACAAGCAGGTCAACTGGGAAAGGAGCGCCACAAGTCTTTTCAATTTACTGTGATTTCTGAGTAATATGAAACGTGAACAGGCTACTGAGACAAAGACAACTGTGGTTTTCTTTCACA